CACAATGAAAGAAATCCGCAGGCAGACTGGAGACAGTCCAAAGGGCTAAGGACAGTCATTCACTGGAAGGAACTCCCCAAGGGATGTGGTGGAGTCCCCACCACTGCAGGTTTTCAAGAAACAATTGGACAGGGTGCTAGGTAGTCTCATGTAGGCTCCGTTTCTCAGAAAAGGTTGGACCTTTCCAAGCTGGGCTGCTCTATGATACAATGATTCTATGAATATCTCTTTGGTCAGTTGGGGTCAGCTGTCCTGGCTGTGTCCCATCTACCCCCCACTTCTTGTCCACCTGCAGCTATTCACAGGAAGGAAAAAGAGTGAGAAATAGAAAACACAGTGATGCTGTGCATGCATTGCTCCTCGATAACCACAACAATGTTGTGTTTTCAATGCTGGTTTAGGCTCCAATGCAAAACAAGCCACCATAAGGGCTGCGACAATGAAAGTTAACCCCATCCCAGCCAGTCCCAGCACACTTGAACCAAAATTGATACAACAATGTACAGATGGTCTGGCGAGTGACGAGTGGTGGGTAAATCACTCCCCTCACTCTTCTGGCAGGGCTCCTCTTTAAACACTCCAGGACACTGCTGGCTGCCTTTGCAACCAGGTCATGCTGGATTGGGCTGATCGCTGCTGGATCATGTTTTGCTTTCTATACCTGAGCACAACCACAGACTTGTCTACAGAGCTGCTCCTCATCCAGGCAGACACCTTCTGCTGTCACTACAGGGTGTCATTCTCTCCCAGGGGCTAGACCTGGACATTGTCCTTCTCTCGTGAAATTCCTGACAGGACCGTCCTCTCATATGCCAGGTTTCATCGGAATGGCATCCCTAGGGCACAGGAATGATCCCCTCAATTAGTGTCATTGACAAACACTGTCAGAATTGCCTCCTCTGGGTCATGGATAAAGTTGTTAAATTGCCCAGATCCCAGGAGAGTTCCCTGTGCTGCCCCACAATGCCCCAGTATCTCCCCCTGGCCTCCAGGTAGGGTATGACCCCTTCACCACAGCTCTCTGAGCCTGAGCCTCCAACTGGTGTTTCACCTCCCTGTCTGCCGACCCAGCCAGACTGTAATGGCCTAACATGGGTACAAGAATATTGAGGGAGATCATGGCCAGTGTCTTGCTGCATTGGAGGTACCTGACATCCACTGTTCTTATGTCACGCACAAAACCAGTTACTTCATCCTTCGGGCAATCAGGTTAGCGGGGCATGATTTACCCTTGGACAGTCCCTGCTGACTGCATTTGGACATTTTCTTCTCTTTTAGGTCCCCAGGAACGTCACCCAAGAGGACTCTAACTGACGACACACTCCACACCAAAGAGAGCTTGTACAGCCTGTGGTTCCCCGGGTGGCCCTTGTGGGCTCTTTCAAAGTTGGCTGCAACATTGGCTTGTCCTCTCCCACAAGAAGCCTCTACCAATCCCATGACCTCTTAACAGGCATATGCCAAAGAAATATCCATATTCCAGTCTAACTTCATTGCCACTATCCTGCCTGGTTTACCATGTACTGAATTTCTCTCATCTTTCATGAATTTGCACCTGGCCAGGATACAATGAACATTTCTCATGTCACCTTTTCAGATGCAGACCCCTGAGACAAAGGACCTTTCCATTATTCTCCAGATTTCTCCTTCCCTTTATTCTTTGTTCCTTCAGATAACTCTCACCTATGCTGTTGTTTTGAACTCGAGGGAGTAAAATCTTTCAACAGCCTCATTGTTTCCTTAGTCAAGACTTTAATTTTGTTTATACCTATCTTTGTGTACTTACCCACTTAAAGTATTTATCCTGACATTAGACCTTGCAGAAGGCAACCTCATTTGCAATATTTTGTACTTAGCATGTGCTTGTGAAGTGTTTTTACTGTTGATGAAGCTTTATCATACTTTAGATTTCTTTGTTTCCAAGGAACTAAACCCTTCTGTGCCTGTGGGCAGCCAGTTCTCTAAGGACAGCAGTGGGAGCTGGTGCAAAGGACCTGTAAGATCCAGCTGCAGAGATCAGTGGAGAAGGCTGATGTAAGGAGAAGTGATGCAAGTCCCAGGGGGCCAATGTGAGAAATGGTGAGACTGGGCAATGAGGAGCCAGGTTGTCCATTCTGTGTTGGACCCCAAGGGACTGTCCAGACCTCCCGAGGAGACACTCTGCATCAATATCAGAGACAGAATGTTGTTATCACCTCTTCTCTAAACTGAAATTGTTATAAAATGCTCTTTATAATGAAGAATCATTTTTATTAGACACATTTGGAAATGTTCTTCCTTAACTACATTCCAAAATTTATTCAATTAGCTGTCCAAGTCTTGAAGACTTCAAGAAAATAACAGGAAAATGCATGGCTTGTTAGGACATTCTGTATTTTAATGAGCCCCATGGTGTGTTTGGCCCTGAGTCCATGAGCCTCAGATACTGAGAGGAGACTGAACAAAATACTCAAGAAATCAAAGTCAGAAGAAAACCCAAAGTACCTTGAAGCATTGATTGGCCCCACTGAGGGCCATTACTGACAAAGCCTCCCCATGGACTCGTTAGAGCAGATAATTGGAGGCTGTGGTTGCAGGTAGGCAAAGGCACTGTGCAGGTGGCTGTAAAGCTGCAAAACCCCTTGTTTTGTTTTGTGAAGCAGAAAGGCCAAGCCCTGGCCCCCAGGCCCTGGGAGGGCAGGTCCTGTCCCTCACGTGTGGGTCAGGGCTCTTCCTGGGGGCAGTGGGGTGTGAGGGTGAGCAATGTCACATGTAGGGAAACTGCACAACACCCCCCAGCTTCCCCAAGAAGAGGAGAGGACAAAACAAATTTCAGAACCTGAAAATAAGATTTTATCCTGATATGCCTCAGCAACAGAGGCGAATGCCATAGTTAAGAGGACACAGAGCTTGTTCTTGTGTGGCCTTTTCAGCCCTTCCAGAGCCCTTGGCCACCACTACTGCAGGCTTCCTTCTACTGACTCCTTTATGCACCTTTTTCCCTTAAGGCTGTTGACATCCATCTTGCTTTCCCACCTAGCTGTCACCCCAGCATTTGTGTAGCTTCACTGAAGTCTCTTCACCCTCGCTGGCTGCTCCTTGAAAAACAATGCTGTGGGCTTTTTGAGAGTCCTTCTGGGCACCTCCTATGCCACAATGTAACCCTTGTAGTGAGATTTCCTTCACTCACATCCAGACTGAAGTTTCCAAGTTGCACTTTGTGGAGCTTTCCTTCTCCTCCCACTTCCAAGAAAAGCTCCATCATCTCTGAAACCATCCTTCAAGCTGCAGACATCTGCTACAGTGCCCTGAGCCTCCACTTTACCAGGCTAAAGAAGCCCAAGTCCCTCAGCCTACCCTCAGAGGAAGGTGAGGACTGGATCTCAGAAGAAGGCTGTGACAGCAAACAGCAGGACTGTCATGGTGTCACTGCAGGAGAGCTCCAGTGAAATCACAGAAGAGGTGGCCCACTCCACTGGGGCCCCAGCACTGTATCTGGGACAGGAATGAGATGATGACCGTAGATGACATCAATACCCCTAGCCAGGGTGTAACTGCCTTCTCAGTGCAGACCTGCTAGTTTGGGAATCTTGCAGAGAGAAGTGGGTGGCACACAGCCCGGTACTGACCTTAGGATGTGGCCACCAGCGGGAAACACTCAGCACCTGCAAAAGGTGCCAAAACCAGCACTGACACTGCTGTGAGCAGAGGTGGTACCTACGAGGAAGAACGTTTGTTTCTGTGTTAGTTGCTTCAATCAATTGTAAAGGAAGTTGGGAGAGGTGAAAGATGAAGGTATGTGTGCCTCTGAGTGCATTCACACTCCCTAGATGTGCTCTGTGCCTTCTGAAAGGTGGGAAATGCCTTCTTCTGAAGGGCAGTGTCGCTCATGCTTGCAGAACCCCTTCTGACTGCGCAGGTGAGATGCTCCCCAGGGCAGCTCCTTTCATTCTGTGCGTTTGAAGGCAGGGGCCAGACAGCCAAGAAAGGGTGATGGAGCAGAGAGACACAATGACAATTTGGACTTCTGACCTAATCCTTCTGTGTCCCTCTGAAGACAGATAAACAGCCTCTCTGAGCTGGGGTGAGAGGACCATGCTGGAAATGGTGGTTGCTATGTGCTGGTCTGTGGTGATTGCCCTGGGGCAGCTTCCCCGGGGTGCCCAGCGCACATGGGCACAGCCCAGCCCCTGCTCTGCTGGGCCTTCAGGTCTCTCACAGGAGCCTGAATGTGTGAGGACACTGCTGTGTGCCCCCACCCTGCACATTCACATATTTCCAGTCTTCACTGGTGGTTTCTCTTCTGGGCAATTTCCTCTTGAGAGCAACTCTGGAAGAAGACCTAAACCTTCCTGCATTGCCCTGAGGAGATCCCCTTGTCTGATGGAAACACTGTCCTGAAGGCCAGCTCTGTCACAGAAGTGCTCACTGCCTGTCCCTGCCTGTGGTCACAGAACTGCCACATCGTGGGACTGTGACTACGGCACAGAAGCACTCAGATCATAGGCCAATAAAAGGGCTCAGGAGCAGAAAGGGGAAGTTTAAAACCAGCAGCTTAGGAAAGATCAAGTGCATTTGCTTCCTGGAAGCACTGCTCTGCCAAGATGTTTTTCCCCTCCACCTCTGCACACAAGCACTGTCCCAGTAGATCCAGAGAACAGCTTCGAGGAAGGATCTCAGAGAAATATATTGCTGCAGTATCCTTTATTTTGTTTAAACACAAAGAGAGCATAGGTCCTCATTTACAAAGTCTATCGGTCACACAAATCTTGATAGATGACAAATTATAAAAGCAACAAATAATCACACTTCTTTGTAGAGAATATTATGTAAAGTAAAACAAACAAACAAACAAAAAAATCAACTCCCAAAACCCCAACAGAACCTACATACTGTGCCCTCCTTTGTAATGAGTTACATTTCAAGTTATTCGCAAAATAAAGGTAATTTATTGTTTCAGAAATTCATGCTGTTATCAGTTCCCTCAGGGCATCTTTGATCTCCTGGTTCCTCATGCTGTAGATGAGGGGGTTCACTGCTGGAGGCATCACCGAGTACAGAAATGACACCACCAGGTCCAGAGATGGGGAGGAGATGGAGGGGGGCTTCAGGTAGGCAAAGATGGCAGTGCTGATAAACAGGGAGAACACGGCCAGGTGAGGGAGGCACGTGGAAAAGGCTTTGTGCCATCCCTGCTCAGAGGGGATCCTCAGCACGGCCCTGAAGATCTGCACATAGGAAAAAAGAATGAAAACAAAACACCCAATTGCTAAACAGGCACTAACCACAAGGAGCCCAACTTCCCTGAGGTAGGAATCTGAGCAGGAGAGCTTGAAGATCTGAGGGACTTCACAGAAGAACTGGTCCACAGCATTGCCTTGGCAGAGTGGTAGGGAAAATGTGTTGGCAGTGTGCAGGAGAGAATTGAGCAACCCAGTGCCCCAGGCAGCTGCTGCCATGTGGACACAAGCTCTGCTGCCCAGGAGGGTCCCGTAGTGCAGGGGTTGGCAGATGGCAACGTAGCGGTCATAGGACATGATGGTGAGAAGAGAAAACTCTGCTGTAGCAAAGAAAAAGAAAAAAAACACCTGTGCGGCACATCCTGCATAGGAAATATCCCTGGTGTCCCAGAGGGCATTGGCCATGGCTTTGGGGAGAGTGGTGGAGATGGAGCCCAGGTTGAGGAGGGAGAGGTTGAGGAGGAAGAAGTACATGGGGGTGTGGAGGTGGTGGTCGCAGGCGATGGCGGTGATGATGAGGCCGTTGCCCAGGAGGGCAGCCAGGTAGATGCCCAGGAAGAGCCAGAAGTGCAGGAGCTGCAGCTCCCGTCTGTCTGCAAATGCCAGGAGGAGGAACTCAGTGATGGAGCTGCTGTTGAAAAATTGCTTCCACTGGTCATTGGGCACTGTCCATGGAGGAAAAGACATTGAAATGTTAGTGTAGGCTTCTCTGAGATAAAACCTACTTCATATCTCTCAGTGACTGCCTCTCCCTTTTAACCAAGTCCTCCAGTTCTACTGTGAGCTCTGGAGGAGTCAGTCCTGCCAGCCATAGATAAATCGGAACATGTGTGATCACAGATTAAATCCACTCATGTTCAGCGTTTTTGCTCCCAATTCACCTTACTGCAAGGCATAGCTGTGGGGATATTGGATTTTTTAAACCGTTTTTGTTGCACCACTACACATGAGGAGTGGTTTTAAGGCAGAAATTTATGGCATTTCTGCTGAACTCCTACTGAAACATTGTATGTTTTGAGTGACCAAGGGGCTGTCCTAAAATTCAGAGTGAGGAGAGTTGCTCTGTCCATCAGCCCTGGTCTCATCTGCCCTTTGCTGGCACCGTTTTGAGCTGTATAATGGAAACAGGGCACTGCTGGGACTAGAGGAATCCAGTCTCCAAGCACAGCTCTCCAAAGCCCTCAGCCCCTCTCATCACACCTGAGGAGGATCTCAGCTCTCCCCTCCCAGCCAGGGACACAGAGGGCTCATTGCAGCTGCCTGTGTGCAGACGCCCAGCAGCATTTCCATGGCCTTAGCACTGAGGTGTTTCCTCCCTGGGGCTGCTGGATAACACAGAGATGTCCTGGGAATGCTGTGCCCACCTGGAGAGAAACCTGCAGCCCAGCATGAACCCCTCAGAGCAAGAGTTGAATGTCCTAAAATGGAGGTGTCCTGAAGAGAAAATTAGGTCCTTTGTTTTACCCACAGATTATGAGGAAACTTTACTCCTATGGACACATCTGCACAGCAGGACCCACAGCGTTGGGCTCAAAACTGCAGCTTAACCCCACCACCCCCCATCCCAGCAAGTCCAGGGATGACAGTAAGGGGAGCAGATACAGGAGGGGGAAAATGAAGAAATACCACACTGCTCGTGTTCTTGGAGACAGAAAGGGACAGGCAGTTGGGTATTGGGTAGTTTCTCCTCTTCAAGGGTGAGGCCGCTGGAAAGGTGCCCCATGACCTTGAGGGCAGAGGCTGTGTTGGACAGGGGGTAGATCAGGGGGCTGCTCCATGGAAGGCATCTGCACTGCAGGGAATGGCAGGGAGGTGCCCGAATCCCCCCTCCCACAGCGTTCCTGGCAGCAACTCCCTCTCCCTTCATGCCCATATCTCTGGTTCCTGCAGCTGTCCCTGCCTGGAGCCGCTTCTCTGTCCCCTTATCTCCTCCCCGTCAGTGCTGCCAGCCCCCATCCCACCCGCCCTGTGATCAGCTCTGCCCTGCGGATCCCTCCTGGCAGCAGGACACGGCCCAGGGGCAGCAGTCTAGGTGCAGGGGCTCAGGAGCGACTGAGAATCCTAAAGACAACTGAGATCTGAGTTATTCAACTAGAGTGGAGAAAAAAATCTAGCAATGCCCACCCAGCCAACCAAAAAACAAATCTCAAAGAAAAGGTCTTTGCATTTCAAGTAAAAGCAGCCTTGATATCCTTCTGCAGAAGGAACCTCTGCAAAAGACCTCAGAGTGATCTGGAGTTGTGAGCATCCCTGATCCACGCAGCAACAGCCTCTGGAGAGCAGAAGGAGCCTGCCCTGGCGGGGGTCTCTCCTTCCCCCCACAACTTCTCCCCACAGCGCTGTGGGGAGCTCCCCGGGCAGGCTGAGTGCTGACCCTGGCAGGCAGCAGAGTCCCTGCCCCAGCACACAGCCCCCTGGGGTGCAGGGACCCTGCTGGGAAGGACAGCCCTGGGCACCCCTGCCTGCACACCCGGCTGCACACCCCTGCAGCCGGCCCCGCCAGAAGGCAGCCCTCATGCCCTGGCCCTCGCAGGGGGTACCAGGGAAGCCCTGCTTGGGAGCAGCTCCTCCTCCTCCTCCTCCTCCTCCTCCTCCTCCTCTAGGCAGGAGGCAGATTCCTGGCGGCTCTGCCGCCTTCCCCAGATCCCTCCCCGAGCTGCAGCTGCATTGCCCTGCACCCCCAGACTTACTGTGGCCAGGGCCCTGATGCTTTCTCCTCCTCGGAGCTCTCAGCAGCCTCCCAGCCCAGGCTGCCTTGAAGCTGTGTGTGCCTCGCTGCTCTGCCCTGGGTGCCTGCAGGCAGTGCCCTCAGCCCTGCTGCGCTTTGCAGAGGAGCTGCTCCTGGGCAGAGCTGTCTCTCTGCAGCGCTGCCCACTTGCCAGGAGCTCCCTCTGGCCCAGGAGCCCGGCCCAGCTCAGCACCACAGCAACAGCCCAAGGCAGTTTAATGACCCCTCAGGAGGGGTTGGAGACAAGTCCATCAACCTCAGGCACTGAGAGGTAGTTGATGAAACCTCTCAAGGAGTCAGTATCAGATACAAACTCCAATGTTTCCTGCACTGTTAATGGCTCCCACTGAGGATGCTATTGACAAATGCTCCCAAGGGGCTGGTTAGAGCAGAAAACTGGAGAAAATTATGACGGTAGACAAATGCCATTGAAAGGAAGATATTCTGTGTGAACATGGATGTGTTATGTTAAGAGAAAGGGCAAACTGCTCACCTCCAGCCCCTGGGATGGGAGATCCTGTCCCTCTCACATTGCTCAGGACTCTTCCTGGGGTAGTATTCTATGGGGATGAGCAATAACAAGAGCATGACTACTGTACAATACCTCCCAAGCTCCCAGGGTGGGAAGGGCTGGCAATGAGACTCGACTGCTGCACGGATCAGGTGGGATGTCAGCAGAGACGAGGTGTCTGAAGAAGGCCCCATCTACTTCCTCTTCCTGATCAGGAGATCTGTAGCAGACATCCACCCACCGCAGTGGTGCCCATGATGTTCTCCCCTCTCCTGTTGACCCCTCAGCTCCCAGATGACTCATTGTCCATCCCCAGGCAGAGCTAAATGCGTTCCTGCAGCTCCCTCCCAAAGGGCTGCTTCCCCTCTGGGTCCAGACCCACGGCTTTATCAGTACCAGACCCCCAAGAAGCCACAGTTCCTCCAGGAGGGGTATTGGCAGTGCCCTGCAACTCCTCGTACTGTTCTCTTGTGAGAGACGCCCCAGTCAAGATGAACCAGCTGCATGAAGCATTAAAAGCAATATAGTGAGGTGCAAGCCATGCAGGTGGGTTTTGGAGCACATTTGGAACATCTGCCTGATAAGGGTGACTGAGAAACCTGTGAGGTGAAGTGCCCTGTGGGACTTCATCTTTACAAAGAAGAGCTGGCCAGGGATGTAACACTCAGGGATGAGAAGGTAAAGTTGAGGCTCCTGAAAAAATGGCACCCATAGATTTTTCCTCTTGTTTCCTCTCCTATTTTGCTTTTTAATTCTTATTTTTCCCTCTGACAGCGAGAATGTTTTATCAGACTGGTTTTCAGCAAGAAAGTTGTCACTGACTGAGGAAGATTCTTTATAATTTTTCTGTTCTACCTGGCAAAGGTCAACCGTGGATGGAAAGACAGTCTTAAAAACAGAACAATTTTAAACACAGCATGCTTTTCTTTTCTCTGTTGGGCTTTGGTGTTCCTTGGTAATCAAACCCTTTCCAGGGAATAAATCTTCCCTCTTCTCTAACTCTCCTGCTTGCCTTTACTTCCCACACACTTCTGCATTTGTCAACGTCTTCATGCCGCCTTCTCCCTGTTTCTGTCCTAATCAAAAAGCTAAAGCCACTTCACTGACGTGTTTTCCCTTTCACTACAATACATTTTTGATCAGCCTAAAATACATGTTTAAATAAGCTACAGTAAAAACAAGTGAGAAATCCCTATTTTTTCTCCATTGACTGTGAAGTGACTCTTGGGGAAAGAGCTCAAATACAAGAACTTACATACAGTTTACAGTGGATTCCTACTCTAGCCCCCATACTACGTTTGCTCTTAGTGCATAGAATGATGCCTTCTTGCGCTAGGCTAATTCTCCCCTCCTCTCTTTTGTTCTCCTTTCAATCTCTGCATGAATGTCTTATCCTTCTACACTCTTTTGCTCTGACTCATCTTCTTTTAACCTCCTGAAGCTCTTTCCCATGATGACCATCTGCCCTCACTTATTGCAGCTCGGATGCTGAGATGTTGAATCATATGACCGTCACAGAGTTCCTTCTCTTTGGCTACTCCTCCCTCCACCATCAGGAACACCTAATGGCAATTACTCTCCTGGTTTTGTGTCTGGTGATCTTAGGGGGAAACTTGCTGATTGTTTCCCTCATCCTCGCTGAAAGAGACCTCTACGGGCCCACGTACCTTTTCCTCTGTAACCTCTCCTGTCTGGAGATCTTCATCACGACATCCGTCATATCCACAGCCAGAGGAAACTTGCTGATGGGCAGCAAAGCCACTTCCTATCCAAGCTGCTGAACTCAGTGCTACTTCTACTCTCCTCTGGGCTACCTCGAGTTTGTCCTTCTGGCTGTCATGTCCTATGACTGTTCTATGGCCTTGTGTCACCCTCTTCAGTACTCCATGCTCATGAGCAGTCACCTTTGTTTTCAGCTACCATTGGGCTTGTGGACTTCGGGATTCCTAGTCACCATTGCCTCCACTGTCCTGGCTGCCAGGGTGCCCTTCTGCAATGCCAGTCGTGTGGACCACGTCTTCTGTGACAGTGTGCTTTTGATCAAGCTGTCCTGTGCAGAAACACTGATTGTTGAGCTGATCACCTTCATGGCCTCATCTATTATGCTCCTTGGCTCACTGGGCATGACAGCAACATCCTACCTTTACACCATTAACACCATCCTTACATTGCTCTCAGCTTTCTCGTGGCTGTAGACATTCT